TAATTTGTTTTTAAGATGTAAATCTAGTGTCTGGACACTCAAGAGTAGTGGTAATCCTTGATTTAGACCACAATTGAGCCCCAATTTAGTGACATGGGTGGTATACAGTTAGTCCTCGAATTACGACCACAATTGAGGTCAAAATTTATATTGCTAAGTGAGATAGTTAAGTAAGCTTTGCCACAGTTTACCAACTTTTCTTGCCACAGTTGTTAAGTCAATCACTGCAATTAAGTTAGTAACACAGTTGTAAAATGATTGTAGCTTTCTCATTGACTTTCGTTGTCAGAAGGTCTCAAAAGATGTGACCCTGGGACAGTGCAACCATCTTAAGTGTCAGTTGCCAAGCGTCCAAATTTTGATCACATGACCACAGGGATGTGGCAACAATTGTTAAGTGTCATAAGTCATTTTTTTCAGGGCCTTTGTAACTTTGAACGATCATTAAACGAATTGTTGTAAGTCAAGGACTACCATATTGACCTAAGGATATGTGTATCATACAAGAGTGCAATTTATAGTTAGGTGTTCCCCATCCCCCTAAATATTGTACTGTTGAAATATTTCCCTAGAAGTGAGAGAAACGAAGCAGAAAGAGAAATGTAGGACATCAGCCATACTATGATTTCTTCCAAACAGCTTTTTGGGCTTATACAATCAATTTGCGAAAGTCACTAAGGAGTAATCTTGTAGTTTGGAAAGGGCTTGGTACATTTTTCTTATTTTGGTAACTGATGATTTAACGTTCTTCCTGCAGCTGTTGTCCCTAGGAAAGGAATCTGTTTTAAAGCAAAGATCTGTTTTTTTCAGGTAAGGTACCCAGTGCTCTGCAGATTACAGATAATCCTTAACAACCATTTGTATAACTATTGTTTGAAGTTACCATGGCCTTGAAGGAAGTGACCTATGATTGGTTCTCACACTTATGATCATCTTAGCACCCCCTTGGCCACTTCATTAAGATTTGGGAGCTTCAGCAGAGAAAATACATTTGGAAGCAGAAATAATTTTAAAAAAATTAGATTGTGCAGAAATGAATAGATTAACTTTGATGATTAAAGAAAGAGAGGATTCAGAATACTTTAAGATTTGGAAACAATTTTACCATTGGTTAGAAAAGAGATAACAAATAAGTAAATTAATAGTTATGTATAAAAATGCTACAATTAGAATATTGTGTTAGTGAAGAATTGTAATGGACTTGGCAAGAATGAAGATAGAAGAAATAACAAAAAGAAGTTTTGGAGACAACACTGAGATGTTACATGGAAGGAATGACTGATTTATTGAATGTTTGTTTAAAAAATAAAAAATTTAAGGACAAGAAGAATTCAGATGCCCAACCTTATTGTAAATATTGTAAACAGGGAGCCGCGTGACAGGACACATATTGATAGGACAAATAAATTAATGCAGGATTGTTTTCTTTGGCTTTATGACTTGCACTCTTTATATAGATTTGCAAAATTGCCAATTGGGCTAACGAGCATTGCATTCGAATTACTTTTTTAATTGGAGAACCTCAAGAGAGCTGTGAAAATTTTTATCTGTGGAAGTACGTGCTATCCAAGCATAATAAGGATTTATTTGTCTGTTTGCTTTTTTAGCCTTGCATTCAAATCATCCGGAAGGAATCCAATCTGTTCTATAGGTAAGAAGATTTTGTTGCTTTTTTTTTGTCATGGTTTAACCTGGGAAAGAGATCCGTCTTTGGGGCTATGCTGTGGTATGATGAATTTGCTACCCAGAATTGTTTGTTACGAGTTGGGCAGCAAATAAATCCAATAAATAAATAAATGGAATGGATGGATGGATGTTATGTTCACCCTGTTTTGTCAAAAACAGTTGGCCACAGAATAGGCCTTTCCCCAGTCATTTTCCCATTATAGAATAGAATAGAATAGAATAGAATAGAATAGAATAGAATAGAATAGAATAGAAAAATAGAATAGAATAGAATTCTTTATTGACCAAGTGTGATTGGACACACAAGGAATTTGTCTTGGTGCATACGCTCGGTGTACATAAAAGAAAAGATTATAAAAATAGAACATAGAATAATAGAGTTGGAAGGGACATTGGAGGTCTTCTAGTCCAACCCCCTGCCTAGGCAGGAAACCCTACACCATTCAGACAAATGGTATATCCAATATCTTCTTAAAAATTCCAGTGTTGGAGCATTCACAACTTCTGGAGGCAAGTTGTTCCACTGATTGATTGTTCTGACTGTCAGGAAATTTCTCCTTAGTTCTACTAGACTTCCCTGGTCTGTTACCTTAGACGAAAGGTCTAAAATTTACACTAAATTATTATTTAAAAGAAAATTTTATAAGAATCAAGAATCTATAAAGATATCTCAAATGAAGTTGGAAATGTAAAAATAAAGAAGGACTTTTTAATCACATACTATGGACATTGACAAAGCAAAGAAATATTGGAGTAGAATTCACATCTTAATGCAAAATCTTTAAAGTGAATATAAAGATAAAACAAGAGAGTTGTTTTTGGTTTATCGGGAAAAGATTTGGAAAAGGTTGACTCAAGCTTCCATCCTTTCGAGTAGAAAATGAGGACCATTGTGGGGGCAATAAGCTGATTTGTATAAAAAAAGAACACCGCTTGGGGGGAATACTAAGCAGGTATAAAACAAAATAGGAAGGCTATTGCTTAAGCATTGTAAGCTGCCCTGAGTCTGGAGAAGGGCAACATATTAAATCGAAATAAATAAATAAATAAATAAAAATTGGAACTTTGATGTTATATATGTTGATGGCAGCAAGATCGCTTTATGCACAAAAATAGAAGGATAATCTGATTCCCACAGTGGAGGAATGGCTGCAGAAGCTGATGGAGTTAGAGAGATGGTGAAATTGACTGTTTTTATTGAAGGGGAAAAAAAAACACAATTACTTTTGTTTCTACTTGGAAATCACTTCTGGGCTTTGTGCTTGAGATGGAAAAAAAATGAAACTTGCTGATTAGATATGTTTGTTGTTAGTATATATGGCTAGGATATATTATATAAAATAATATAATGCCTTGGTAAGGCCACACTTGGAATCCTGCATCCAGTTTTGGTCCCCACAAGTATACAAAAGATGTTGAGACTCTAGAAAGAGTGCAGAGAAGAGCAACAAAGATAATTAGGGGACTGGAGGCTAAAATCATATGAAGAACGGTTGCAGGAACTGGGTATGTCTAGTCTAGTGAAAAAAAGGACCGGGGTGACATGATAGCAGTCTTCCAATATTTCAGGGGCTGCCACAAAGAGGGGGTCAAGCTATTTTCCAAAGCACAAGGAGCAATGGATGGAAACTAATCAAGGAGAGAAGTAGCTGGAAATAAGGAAAAATTTCCTGACAGACATAATTAATCAGTGGAACTGCTTGCTCCCTTGTAAATCTTAACCCTGGAGGGGTTTTTTTTGTGTGAAAGTTTTTTTATTTTTTTACACAAACACACAAACAAACATACAATGCATTTTTTCTGAACAGAGTATTGGCCGAGTCACATATTTATACAATTTTGGTCATCTCTAACAGTTTATATATTGCACTTTTTGCCATAATAATCTTTAATTTTTGTTAACCAATGTTCCCCTTCACCCTAGTCTCTAATCTTAATCAAATTCAATTTTTCTTTCCTATCTCCAAATTAAAAACCTTAAATTTCAAAAACTCACAACATAATGTAATTCTATTTTTGTCAAGTTTTACAAATATTATCCAATGCTTACTAAAAATCCCTTAAACTAGAAGACCTCCAAGGTCCCTTTCCTTTCGATTTCTGTTTTTAAATTCCTGTCCTGTCCTATTAAACATATCCAATTATTTTGCACATTAATCTTATATCTTAAATCCAATTATTTTTTTTTCAATTCTATATATATATTTACGTAGGAAAATCCTGGTTGAAGAAAAATACATACATACATCTGTATTCATTTCAAAAACTGGATTTTTAAGAAGATTTGGATAACCATTTGTCAGAAATGGTATTCTGCCTAAGCAGGGTTCTCTTGAGACCTCCATTCCTTCCAACTCTGTTGTTCTGTCCTGTCCTCCTATCCTAATCTATATCCTATCCTATTATTTCTTATTCTATTCTTATTTATTATTCTATTCTATTCCTTATTCTATTCTACTCCTTATTCCATATCTATTCTATTCCTTATTCTATTCTATTCCATATTCTATTCTATTCCTTATTCTATTCTATTCTATTCCTTATTCTATCCTATTCTATTCCATATTCTATTCTATTCTATTCCTTATTCTATTCTATTCCATATTCTGTTCTATTCCTTATTCTATTCTATTCCTTATTCTATTCTATTCTATCCATATTCTATTCTATCCTTATTCTATTCTATTTCCATATTCTATTCTATTCCATATTTATTCTATTCCTTATTCTATTCTGTTTCCATATTCTATTCTATTCTATTCCATATTCTATCTATTCCATATTCTATTCTATTCCTTATTCTATTCTATTCTATTCCATATTCTATTCTATTCCTTATTCTATTCTATTCCATATTCTATTCTATTCTATTCCTTTTTCTATTCTGTTCCATATTCTATTTCTATTCCTTATTCTATTCTATTCCATATTCTATTCTATTCTATTCCTTATTCTATTCTATTCTATTCCTTATTCTATCTATTCTATTCCTTATTCTATTCTACTCTAAATCTATCCTGCCTAAGCAGGAGTTGGACTAGAAGACCTCCAAGGTCCCTTCCAACTCTTGTTATTCTGTTCCGTTTGGTTCTATCCTATTATTTCTTATTCTATTCTAAGTTAGAATTTCTTATTCTATTCTATTCCATATTTCTGTCCTGTCCTATTCTATTTTCTATTCCATCTCTTCTCAATGGCATCCTGCGTATAAGCAGGGGGTTGGACTAGAAGACCTCCGAAGGCCCCCCTTCCAGCTCTGTCAAATCTCCCAGAGGGCGCTGAGGAGAAGGCGAGGGAAGGAAGGGGTTAACTCTGCCTTCCCGCTCTCTCTCTCTTTCTCTCTCTCTCTTGCGTGTCAATCAAGTCTCCGTAGCCACGCCTCTCCGCTCCCTCCACCTCTCGGCTCCGCTCGGCTCAGCAGACGGACGCTTTTTTCCTCAGCTCCCGATTTTTCAAACCTCAGACCCCAGGAATTTAAGACCCCCACCCCACTCCCCACCCCCACCCCCACCTCTCCAAGGAGGAGGCCAGGCCCAGCGGGGGCGCGAACCCTGGAAATGGAGCCTTCCGCGGCGGGAGGCAGCCGCCGCCGCCAGGAGGACGTGAGTGGGGGAGGGCAGCGTTCGCCAGGCCCGAGCGCCCGTTTTGCTCCCCCGCGCCCAAAATGGCGGCCAAAATCATGGCCGAGGCACCATTTTTCAGGATGGCCGGGGAGAAGGAGGCGCGCATGCGCCAGAAGGCCTCGGGCGGAGACGTTGCAAAGGCAGAGCGTGGCGGGCAACGGGGGCCCCCTGGTGGCCAAGGCCACCAGCTCCCGCGCAACTGAAGCCCTTCAGGCGGCTACCCAACCTCGGTCACCAGATGGCGCCAGAGAGCAACTTTCTCAGCAGCAGCTTCCAAAGATAGAAGGCGACCACGTTTCAAATCTACTCCCAGCGGAAGGAGCTTGCGGGGAGCCGGCTCCTAAGAGGGAAAGGCCTACGCCAGAGGCTACCTTCACTCCTACAGCGGCGGGGCTCCGCCCAAGCCAGACCCAGCAGATAGAAATTACCCCACAACTGATACAAATGATCTCAGAGTGTATCCATCGGGCCATTGTCGCAAGAGTGCAAGAAATGTGGCCGGCAGGCTCTCCAGCCCCTGTCGGCACCTTACCCCAGAGGCAGCCAACTGCAGCCAATAACCGAAGGGGCTTACCTGTTCTTCCCAGGCCTCGTCCCCCGGCCTCTTCCATAGAGGGATTTTTCTCAGACGATGAGGAAGAAAAAGAGCCAATGCTATCTGAAGACAAAGGAGTGGCTCCGGACCGCCCAGTTTTCGGAAAGCTCTTCAACCCTGCCTTGTTTGACACGCTTCTCCGCAAAGCCAAGGCCACAGTTGCCACGTCAGATCCGGCCTTGGGCTTATCTGCCCCCAGTCCTCAGCCATTTCGAGGCAAAGGAAGTTGGCCCTTCGAAAGTCAGCGCTCACATGGAGACCCAAATGGCACAAGACATGCGAAACGACATCAGCGAGCTAGAGCTCAAAGCAGCCCACTTAGCCCTCCGACGGTTCCAGACCCTCATCTCCAGCCTCCACATACTCATCCTAACAGACAACATAGCCACAAAGACCTATATCAATCGCCAAGAGGGCATCCACTCCAGGTCCCTCATGCGAGAAGCCAGGCACTTGGGGCACTGGGCGGAATCGGGGCTAATCAGGAAAGTACTGGCGGAGGGAGCGGACTTCCTACTTTTAGTTCCCCACTGACCCAGAAAGCCATGGTTTTCCGATCCAGTCAATTTATCAGTCTCCAGGCCCTAGAGGATACCACCAGGCAAGATCACCCTCAGTCAGGGAGTTCTCTTCTACCCAGCGCCACAATTGATCCAACCAACCGTTTGGCACTTGAGTGGAGAGCTCTGAAACTGGCCAACTGCTCTGACCAGGTAATACAGACCATTCAAGCCGCTAGGAGTCCATCTACCAACAGGATTTACGATTCCATCTGGAAAACCTTCTGCGCCTGGTGCTCCAAAGCCTCTCTTGATCCCCTCTCAATCTCATTGGCCCGAATCCTGGAGTTCCTACAGGCTGGGCTAGACGAAGGTCTATCACCCAATACGATACGCAGACAAGTGGCCGCCTTGTCGTCCGTGTTATTTGGTGAGAAAATGGAGTCCCTCGAACAGCACCCTCTTGTGCGCAGATTTATCAGAGGCGCTGTTGTGATCTCGGCATCCCGAAACCAAGAAGCAGACTCCTCGTCCCAATAAACCCTCTTTTATTTAATTTACAGTGAATTCCTCTCCAGCAAAGTCTTTCCTCTCCCACAGTCTTTCAAGATAGTTCACAATTACCAACCTTTATCAGGCTTGGAGAGTGGCCAGGCTGATATCTTTCAGACACCGCAATACTTGGCAAGAATGCAGAAATGAACTAATTAAGCGAACTAATTGTCTCCTGCAAACTCCCCTCCCTGTTCGCTCCTCTTTTATTCCCCATGGGAGGGGCCATTCATCGTCCACCTGTGGCCTTACTCCCAAGTCGACCCTTGTTCTTTAGCTGTTCCCTTTGTCTGGCAACTCTGCGCATGCGCACACTTGGATCAAGCTCCAACTGTTCATCTGCCACACTGATGTCTGACTCTAAAGGCAGCTGATAACTGTCAGACGGCCCTGGCCCTCTCTCTGCCTCCGACACAGAGCCCTCATCAGAGCCTTCCCTAGACTCCAGGACTGGCCCAGGTTCCTCCCCAACCTCACTGTCAAAATCTATTGCCAGCTCTGCTGGCCGCTGGCGGGCCACAACAGGCGCAACTAACTTAAAGCCTTCGACGATACACCAATATCCCACCTGGGAACTACCTACAGTCCTCCAGTCTCTCTTCTACACCCTTCGAACCTTTGCACTCCGCCAGCCTTGGTTTCCTCACCTGCAAGGTCTCCTTTCTCGTGGCTATCACCTCGCCGAGGTGCATCTCCGAGTTAGCAGCCCTCTCAATACGGAAGGATCTATGCGTTTTCTATCCCAACAGAGTTATTCTTGCGCTTGGACCCTTCGTTCCCACCCAAGGTCAAGTCCTTATTTCACAGGGCACAAGAACTGATTTTATCGGACTTCTGCTCTAGTCCAACCCATGCCCTAGAGAGGAAATGGTACACCTTGGACGTCAGGAGGGCTCTCCGCGTCTGTATCAAGAGGACAACTTTCTTTTGGAGATCAGAATCCTCCTTTGTGTCATTTCAACCCTCCACATCGGATAATAAAGTCACAGCATCAACCATAGGCCGGTGGATACTGGCATTCATCGCCAAATCATAAGAACTTCAGGCTCTTCCGTTGCCTCGGTGAGTGACAGCCCACTCCATTAGAAGCGCGGCCACTACAGCAGCGTGGGCCACGCAGGCCTCCATCAAGGAGATACGCCGAGCAGCGACATGGTCTTCTCCATTTCCGTTTATACGGCATTATAAGCTGGATGCCTTCGCTTTCGCTGAAGTGGCCTTTGGCAGATGAGTTCTCCAAAAAGTATACACGGACTCTGGACCAGACCGCTGCCCACCCTTAGGATGCTCCGGCTTTGGTATGTCCCATTCCTTGGATTCTCTGCTCAGCACAATGGAGAAGGGGCGTTGGTCTCACCTGACACGCTCCTTCTCGGTGTGCCCCACCCTGGCGGCCATCTGGCCCAGAGTCCAGGAGTGGTCAAGTCAGATAGAAAAACAAGTTCAAGTCGATCATTAACGCCTTCGTCAAAACTGGGGACGCAGACGCGAGAGGCGTGCCTACGAAAGTTTGACAGACTCCGTCTAAAGAGCAGGAAGGCAGAGTTAACCCCATTCCTTGGATTCTCTCTCAGCACAACGTGTCAGGTAAGACCAATGCCCCTTCTATTCTAAATGTAAAAAGTTGAGGTTTTATGCTATTATCATATTCTATACCAAGGGTCTCCAACCTTGGCAACTTTAAGACGTGTGGACTTCAATTCCCAGAATTCCTCAGCCAGCTTTGCTGGGAGTTGAAGTCCACAAGTCTTAAAGTTGCCAAGTTTGAAAACCTCTGATCTAGACCTTCAAAGTCTTCTGTATTGTGTTTTTTTTTTTGTTTCCTCTTTTAAAGGCAGCCTACAGCAGAGTTTCCAAAGACACTACAGGTCCAAGCCTAGCCATGGTATCGGCCGGTATAGACATCTTCTCCCGCCGGAGGTGAGCATTAGGAATCTCTTGCTTTGCTGATTTTGTTGCTTCTTAAAGACAGATTTCCAGAGGGACATGATTATCGGCTGAGGATTCTCTGGATTAGAAGGGGGGGGGGTATTACAGGCAGTCCTCGTTTATGACCACAATTGAGCCCTAAATGTCTGTTGTTAAGCGAGACCCTTGTTCAGTGAGTTTTGCCCCATTTGATGACCATTTCTTGCCATTGTCGTTAAGGGAATCACCGCAGTTGATAAGTTAGTAACACGGCCGCTAAGCGAATCTAGGTTTCTCATTGATTTTGCTTGTCACAAAAGGGGAGCACGTGACCCCGGGACACAGCAGCGGTCGTAAGTATGAACCAGGTGCCAAGCCTCTGAATTTTGATCATGTGACCGTGGGGATGCTGCAAAGGTCGTAACTGTGGGAAAACGTGCGCCTCATAATGAGCTATTATAAATTGAGGACTACCTGTATACATTTAATAAACCCCGCTGTCATTTTCCCCAGGTCCCTCAAAAAAGGAAGAACCATGTGGAGATGAAGGAAATCGACCCTGGCACAGAACACCAGTATGGCACTTTAAACGTCGTGATGACGGGCTATGACGTCTCTCTGGTGGAGCACTACGCTCAGTACGTCCATCGCCTCTGCAACAAGCTGTCCGTCAAGGTGGTCGAAAGGTAAAACTCGCTTAGCAACCGTATGTAGCCAGAGGCTGAGGAGCTGAGAAAGCTACCTGCCATGAAGAAATCCTTGCGAAATTAGCTGCAGGGCTAACCTCCTAGTAAGGAGGTTACTACTAAAATAGCTAACATACAAGCTTTTCCTTTGAAATTTCTTCTGATTTTGGAATTCTGAAATAATCTATTAAGAGATTAGAATACCTCAAAACCATTATCCTTCATCAAATCTCAAGGACATCCCTACAGTTCGGAGAAAGGTGGCATACTAGTTGAATGAATGAATGAATGAATGAATGAATGAATGAATGAATGAATGAATAAATACAGGAGCTCCTCCGTAACAGATAATAAAGAGAACAATAAATGAGGCAACGTCTTTCCGTACGTTGCAGGAACATTGGAAAAGCTCAGGAGGATCTTCAGCCAACACAACATACGTGCACCCTTCAAACCCAAGAATACACTTAAGACAGAGGTCTACAAACTTGGCAGCTTTTAAGACTTGTGGACTTCAACTCCCAGAATTCAAAGCAGTTCAGAGCAAAGCTGGCTGAGGAATTCTGGGATTTTAAGTCCACAAGTCTTAAAGCTGCCAAGTTTGAAGACCTCTGCACTAAGTAGTGGAGAGTGGGGGGCTCCATTTCGCTGTGGCTTTTCTTCCACCAGTATTTTGGGTTAATATTTGGAAGGGATTCAGAAGGCAGAAACCTATATGCCTTGTATATGCTCTATTCAAGAGAGGCTCTTACCGATATACATACATAAAGCTATGGAAAAGCCACAAAGCATATAAAAAGATGTGGAGACTCTAGAAAAGAGTGCAGAGAAGAGCAACAAAGAAGATCAGTGGGCTGGAGGTTAAAACATGAAGAACGGTTGCAGGAATTTGGTATGTCTAGTTTGATGAAGGACTAGGGGTGACAGGATAGCAGTCTTCCAATATCCCATTTTACATGATGTTACAACCTAAGGAGAGAGAATTTTTTACAAAATGATGTATGGTCGGTTATGATGTAACTTTAATGAAAAGGACTAGGGATGACATCATAGCAGTAGTCCAGTATTTGAGGGGTTGCCATAAGGAAGAGGGGGTCAAAATATTCTCCGAAGGACCTGAAGGCAGGAGAAGAAGCAACGGATGGAAACTCATCAAGGAGAGAAGCAACTTAGAACTAAGGAGAAATTTCCTGACAGTTACAACAATGAGTCAGTGGAACGACTTGCCACCAGAAGTTGTGAATGCTCCAACACGGGAAGTTTTTAAGAGGTTGGATAACCATTTGTCTGAAGTGGTGTAGGGTTTCCTGCCTAAGTGGGGTTGGACTAGAAGACCTCCAAGGTCCCTTCCAACTCGATTCTGTTCTAACCCCCTGCTCAAGCAGGAAATCAAATGGAATGGAGTGGAATGGAATGGAACAGAGTAGAGAGGAGAGAAGAGAAGAGAAGAACTTCATTGTCACTTTGAATGTACACCACTCGGCATACATTAAAAGGAAATTTCGTTGCATACAGACTAATACTAAGAGCAATATAATAATATATCATTTCAGACTAAAGGTTATGCAGTCAAGAGAAACGATATAATAATTTCCTCCCTCTCTGGTGGCTCTTTCCCCAGCTATGCCATGCCCACGAAGACGGTAGAGCTGGTGTTGGCCGGGGACCACGGCACCAAAGTGCGTGTGGACGGCCACCTTACAAGCCACCAGCGTGTCGTTCAGGTAGGTTGCCTTTCTGGTTTCATTTTCCAAAATGCAGGCAGGCCTTGACTAACGGAGCCCCAAATTCCTGTCGCTAAGCGAGACAGTCGTTAAGCGAGTCTTGCCCCATTTTACGACCTTCCTTGCGAGAGCTCTCAAATGAATCACTGTTGTTTAGTGAGTAACTGAACGGTTGTTAAGCGAATCTTAACAAATTTTGGTAATTCGTTTTCTCTGGAAAAATGATTTTTTTTCCGTTCCTCCAGATTAATCAACTGACTGCCACCTTTACTCCTATTTTCTTGGAAATTATTCAGAATAACCTGCCCGAAGGAGTCCATCTATTAGTGAAAGAGGTATGTGGGTTTCTTACTGAAACTTTTAAATTGAGAATAAAATAACCAAAACCATCAATAAATTTAACCTCAGTAACTTAAAAGAGGAGAACAACAACTGTGGGGTCCTTGGTGCTCTCTGAGCTGGGTTGTTTTCTTGCAGACGTTTCATGACCCAACTAGGGAACATCATCAGTGCTAGAAGGGAGTGGGGTTTGTGGAGGAGGAGGAGGAAGATTGTGGGGTTCCTTGGTGCTCTCTGAGCTTGCTTGTTTTCTTGCAGACATTTCATTACCTGACTAGGTTACATCATCAGTGCTCGAAAGCTGGAAGGATATAAAACTGGCTTGTGTGTAAAGAAACCTCTCAGGGAGCGCCATTAATTTCGTAAGGAACCCTCAAATTCTCCGGACCACAATCTGATAAACCCTGACAGTAAACCAAGTTAAAAGCTAGATTTATAAGATGGTTTCATATATTTTTTTTTTAGCCGAGTGTCATGCACAAATCCAGCCTCAGTATCTGACAAAACGTTATTTCAAATTGAACCGCACAAGTGGCTGGCTGGAGTGCGTGTGTGTGTCAGCCTGCCACTCGCGCTGTGCTGCACATGTGTGCGCTGGCCCGCCATTCACACAAGGATGCATGTTTGCACGTGTGCGCTGGCCTGCTGCTCGCACGGCCCAATCCTCCTCTTCCCTCCCCGTGCTGGGCCAAGCTGCAAAGGTTGGGGATGTTGGCTTAGATCAAGGGGTCTCCAAACTTGGCCGCTTTAAGACTTGTGGACTTCAACTCCCAGAATTCTGGGAGTTGAAGTCCACAAGGCTTAAAGCGGCCAAGTTTGGAGACCCCCGGCTTAGATGATCTAAAACTTCTCAGGTACAAAGGCTTTGCAACTTTCTCAACCCTCCCGAAAGATGCTTTCCTCCAAGCAACCACATTGTCTTTTAAGATCCAAATGTTCGGTTTGTTTCTTTCCTTCAGCACACGGAGGAAGATTTCAGAATTCGATTGAAGGTCCGGCCAGAACTGGATGAGCTTCGGGCCAAACTGCAGTGAGACGGGGGCCTGGTGGCCGATTGTGCTTTTCATCACTCCGAGAACGTCCTTCCAGGGTTCCTCAGCCAGCATGGGTTGGACTTCCAACTCCCAGAATTCCCCCATAACTACAAAAACGTGAGGGCCGGGGTGGGGGTGGAGGATGGAAGCAGAAACAGGTCCTCCTGCATGAGCAGGGGGTTGGACTAAATGACCTCCAAGGTCCCTTTCAACTGTTACTGAGTGCCAGCAAGCTTGGTTCCGTCCCAAAACCTTCCCATCCTATAACCACAATCTGGCCGCTTCCACCTCCCGAAAGATGCTTTTAAAAGTTTGTTTTTCTTTTTAAACCAAAAATAAAAGCATGAAAAATACAACGTGTAGCAACTCTTGTGTATGGTGATGTTGTCCAAACAGTCCTTTTCAGCGCGAACGTTGCAGCGTCTGTGCCTTGGAAGCGATTTAAGATTACAATCAATTTACAACAGTTAATTTAGTGACAGTTAATTCAGTGCCGTTGTTAAGTTACAACGGCACTGAAAAATGTAGGACCGATTTTCACACGCCCTTTTTTTTTTTTTTAGCATCCCCACGTTCACGTGATCAATATTCAGATGTTTGGCAACTGATTCATACTTACGGCCGTTGCTGTGTCCCAGGGTCACGTGATCCCCGTTTTGCGACCTCCTGGCCCGCAAAAATCAAAGGGAAGGCCGGATTCTGTTGCTAACTTTTATCAACTGCGATGATTCACTTAACCAGAGTGGCCGGAAAAGGTCGTAAAACGAGGCAAAACTCACTTAACAAACGTTTCGCTTAAGAACAGAAGTTTGGGGCTCCGTTGTGGTCGTAGGTTGAGGACTGCCTGTATAGCAGCCCAATTCCCTGTACAGCACAGACTTATTGTTTTTCCCTAGCCAGCAAATTAGGCAAGAGAATTTCGCTTCCACCCATAAGAAAAGGGGAAGCTTGCAAGGGTCCTTTTCTCGACCTCGTCCGTTCAAAGCAAGACCGTTTGAAATGGCTGCTTTTATAGATGGGAGTCAATTGCGTTTCTGTAAATACGAAAAATCGTATGAAGGAGGTTTGCTGGAAAATCTAGTTTAGTGAAAAGGACCAGGGGAGACATGATAGCAGTCTTCCAATATTTGAGAGGCTGCCACAAAGAAAGAGGGAGTCAACCTATTCTCCAAAGCCCCTGAGGGCAGGACAAGAAGCAACGGGTGGAAACTCATCAAGGAGAGAAGCAACCTAGAACTAAGGAGAAATGTCCTGACAGTGAGAACAGTTAATCAGAGGAACAACTTGCCTCCAGAAGTTGTGGGTGCTCCAAAATTGGAGGTTTTAGAGAAAAAAGAGCCTTGGTAGTACAGTGGTCTAAAGCACCCTGTTATTAACATCTGCTGCCTGCAATTTCTGCAGGTTCGAATCTCCCCAGGCTCAAGGTTGACTCAGCCTTCCATCCTTTCTAAGGTAGGTAAATTGAGGACCCGGATTGTGGGGCAATAAGCTGACTTTGTATAAAAATATACAAAAGTATGAAGGCTTAACGCCTTGTAAGCCGCCCTGAGTCTCCGGAGAAGGGCGGCATATAAATTTTTTTTAAAAAAAAAATTGGGACAGCCATTTGTCTGAAATGGTAAAAGACAGGGGAACCTTGCCAGCACCAAGTGCCGAAATGGGAGCGTGTGTGCGTACCAGAAACCCAGAAGAGCAGCCGCCTGGTCAGCTGCGTTCATGCGTGCCAGAAACCGGAAGACCCAGGGGGCCAATGCGCATGCACGCACCGGAAGATCATCCCGGCGCACACATGGTCACCGGGCGGCTGCTCTTAAGTTTCCAGCGCTCCTGCGTGGGTGAAGGCCTGCTGGCCGGCACGCCGGAACTCAGGAGAGCAACAGGCAATGACTCACATGCCCGGAGAGATGGCTCTGTGTGCCACTTCTGGCACGCGTGACATCGGTTCGCCATCACGGGTATAGGGTCTCCTGATTGAGCAGAGGGTTGGACTAGAAGACCTCCAAGGTCCCAACTCTTCATCATCATCATTTTTTAATGACCCCATAATCCCTTGCGGGGTGGAGTCTGGGCAATTGAATGGAGCTGAGTATTTACTGGCCGGATGCCCTTCTTGTTGCCGGTGCGGAGCACAGCAGATACAATCTCATTGTGCCCAGAGAGAGAAATATTACCCTCTACCCAGGATCAAACTCACAGCCTCCCGATTGTGAGGTGAGAGCTCCACTTCTAGGCCACCACACCACTCAAGGTCCCAACTCTGTTATTGTGTTAAATACTTGTGTCCCGTCCCGTCCCTGTTTTCACTCCGAGATTTTTGCCCAGATTGGGAAAACATTGCCAAAACTTCAAACCAATAAACAACACCAACAAAGAAAAGAATATTCCATTTATCCTGGCAGGAGGCTTCACATTTTTTCCTATTAAAAGCAAAAAAAAAAAGAATGCCACTCCCATTTTTTTTGCATTAACGGGTCTGACGGTAGACACATCTTTGGTCTACAAAATTTAGCTCTTTCCAAATCTCTGATGATGGCTTCGTCCTGCATAGCCATCCCTTGCTGGGCTCGCGTTGCTCCGAAGCTTTGGGAGTCCAGCGGGCTCCCCTGCGCTACCCTTCGGTCAGCTGGCGGCCTGGTGCAGCTTCTGCCTCCTCTTGACCTCTTCCGCTCGCTGCTTCTGATGTTCCGTCATGCAGGCCCGGAAACTCTGCACTTGTTCTTGGCACTTGCGCCAGTCCTGGTGTTCTGCCATGCACTCCATCACGGCGTAGTGGAAAGTGGCGCAGCCCGTCCGCTGGATCATCTGGTCAAAAGGATCTTCCTCCTCCTCTTCCTCCTCTTCCTCCCTCCTTGTTTGCGTCTTCTGGCTCCAGTTGTGACCAGACATCCTGGCAGATCTGGGGAAAGGATAATCTGCTTAACAAAAAAAAAAAAAATCCTTGTGGTATCTACACCAGTGTGAAGCTACTCGAGCCAGGTGAGACTGTAACCTCCTAACCCAGAGGTCTGCAAATTGGCAGCTTTAAGACTTGTGGACTTCAACTCCCAGAATTCTCCAGCCAGCCATGGACCCTTTATGACTCATGGACTTCAACTCCCAGAATTCTCCAGCCAGCCATGGCTCCTTTACGCCCTGTGGACTTCAACTCCCATGATTCCTCAGTCAGCCATGGACCTTTTATGACTCATGGACTTCAACTCCCAGAATTCCTGGGCCGTCATGGCTGCCAACAAGCAAAGTCAATGGAGGAAGCAGGAATTCTGGGAGTTGAAGTCCAAAGGTCACAAAGGGGGGCCCTCGTTGCCCACTTAGCTCACCAAACGACCTAATTTTTACCCCTTATTGAAATAAAATATCGGGAAGGAAGCGTCCCTTTCTCCACCCCCCCCAAACAAGCCTACCTCGCAGGGCTGGGGTGAGGGGGAGACTCGGCGCGGTCGCTCACCCCAAGCCAGCCCTGCCAGGTAGGCCAAGCCGCCCCCCCCCACAAAGCCCCGCCCACCTCCGCGAGCGCCTCCAACCGCCGCTTCAGGTCTTCCGGCTCCGCCAAACTGATGCCGTGGTGGGCGGCGCCTGGGCCTTCCGGGGGGCGGTCCCCGGGCGGCAACTTCCGGGGCGGGGCTGAGGCGAAGATGGCGCAGGCGCCGGTGCTGCGGATCCAGAGCGACTGGGACCAGGTCTTGAGGTGGGGAGGCCACGCCCACGACGGCGCCGGCCACGCCCCTCGGCGTTGGCGGCGTGCCCTGGCGGGGAAGGGAGACCACCCGGAGATCCCTGAAGGAAAAATTGGAACGGAATCTCCGGGGATCGTGGGGGGGGGGGGAGGGAAGGCAACCTTTTAACTGCCTGGACTTGCCTTAGGGGTTTTTAGGTCCAGCAGTCCCAGCCTTCTGGGTGCGGGAGTCCAAGTTAGTAGACACTGAGGCAATCTAATTCTGTCAGGGACTACAACTCCCATCCGCCCATGCCACAATGGGCTTTTAACTGCATGGACTTGTCTTAGGGGATCTTTGGGTCCACCAGTCCCAGCCTTCTGGGTGCGGGAGTCCACAGCAGAAAAGACACTGAGGCAATTAATCCAGCCCTCTCGGGGACTACAATTCCCATCCACTCATGCCACAATGGGCTTTTAACTGCATGGATTTGTCTTAGGGGGTCTAGAGGTCCACCGGTCCCAGTCTTCTGGGTGCGGGAGTCCACAGCAGAAAAGATACTGAGGCAGTCCAGCTCTCTCGGGGACTACAATTCCCATCCGTCCACACCACTGGGCTTTTAATTGCATGGACTTTTCTTAGGGGCCTTTGGGTCCACTAGTCCAGCCTTCTAGTTGCAGGAGTCCAAGGCAGAGAAGACCCCAGAGGCAATCACTCCAGCCCTCTCAGGGACTACAATTCCCATCCACCCATGCCACAATGTGCTTCAAACCCCTTCTGCTCCTGTTTACCCTACCAGTTGATTGGTAGCTTTTCTGGCTGGGGAATTCTGGGAGTTGCAGTCCGCACTTCTTAAAAGTCACCAAGTTTGACAAACGCCACAATAAACCCATTTAATTTACAGGTAGGGAAGCCCTTGGCCATCGGGATGCAACACCGCAGCCCTTTCAATTATTGCTTTTATTTATTAAATTTATATGTCTCCCATATCACCTGATTTATTTCTAATGGTTTATTTCTCCCCCACTTTTCTAGGAGAAATGAGGAGGAGGTTTGGCTGAGCTGCAGGAGTCCAGGTGAGTGAGAAAAATCAGCCTCTCCTGTTGTTGTCGAGCGATTTTGCCAAGGAGTTCCAGTTCTTTCTTTTCCTCCATCCCTACTCGGATGTTACACGCCTCGTGTAAAGTAGCCCCCTGCCTCCAATCCCGTCCGTCTTAAAATAGATCTGCTCAAACTTATAGCTTGCATGGTAGGGTCCGAATTCTTTGCATCAGGTTTTGGGGTTCCCAATACAGGTGATTCTCGACTTACAACCATTCATTTAGCGACTGTTCAAAGTTACAACGAAAAAAGTGACTTATAACTGTTTTTCCGCAATCAACATAAATCATAAGATCCAACGAGAAAGTGTTATGAGTTTGTAAACTCAGATCTGTATTTTTATTTTTATTTTTTTGGATCCCTGGGATCAAAACAACCAAAACACTCCACCTGCATTGGGGTTTGCTTGTAGGCGGTCACCTGTGATTATGCAAATCCAGGAATGGTGGCTTATATGCAGGAATGATAGCTAAGGAGGCTGTGTAAACCTGGATATTTCAAGGTTGACTCAGCCTTCCATCCTTCCGAGGTAGGTAAAATGAGGACCCGGATTGTGGGGGCAATAAGCTGACTTTGTATACAAAAAGAACACTGCTTGGGGGGGGGGGGGCGAAAGCCCTACTAAGCAGGTATATACAAAAGTATGAAGGCTATTGCTTAAAAGCATTGTAAGCCGCCCTGAGTCTCCGGAGAAGGGCGACATATAAATTGAACCAATAAATAAATATCAGACCCACCCTTTCCAGGTGAGTTCGGCCCCCATCCTTTTGGGCCTTTGGTAAAAGCCTGGCTCTGTTGATTGGCTTGGGGACTGGACGGGGCCGTTTCATTCAGGAGGTGGTTACAGGTTGTCCTCCACTTACAACCATTCATTTAGTGACCATGTGAAGTTTCCGAAAAATGCCCTAATGAATTCATGAGCCATGATCCAAACTTCAAAGGAAATATATTCATTTATTAGGAGCAACATTCCGGCAATCCTTGGATGCAGTTAGGACTGATCCTACGTAGATTTACGTTCCCCTATGACCCTGTTCTCTCCCCTCCTCCCTGGCCGTGTCATAAATTACATTCTCCGATTAACCACTTTGGTTGGCTGTGAAATCCAACACCCTCCTTCTGATTGCGGTCAGGAAGAATGTATGGAATGCAGCTTCAGTTAGGGAAATCAATCAGCTCTATCAGTTCTCCCTCCCTCCTGCTCATGGCAACTTGAAAGCTTTGCAAGTTGACAGACCATTCAAAGTCACAATGGCCCTGAAAAACGTGACTTATGACTGCTTTTCACACTTACGACCGTTGCAGCATCCCCAGGGCCAGGGGATCAAAATTCAGACGCTTGACCACTGACTCATATTTGTGACGGTCTCAGTATGCCTTGGTCACGTGATCCCCATTTGCGATCTTCTGACAAACAAAGTTGATGGGGGAAGCCAGATCCACTTAACAGCGCTACTAATTTAACCCACAGCAGGGATTCACTTAACAACTGGCAAGGAAAGTCGTAACATGGGGCAAAACTCACTTCGCCTCACTTAGCCATGGAAATTTGGGACTCAGTTGCGGTCGTAAGTCGAGGACTACTTGTGTTCACTGATGATATTTGCAAGCCCGGAATTTAACCTTGAGAAGACATAATACACAACTCAGAATAGAATAGAATTAGAATAGAATAGAATAGAATAGAATAGAATAGAATAGAATTAGAAGAGGTGGAATCGAATCGAATCGAATCGAATAGAATAGAATAGAATAGAATAGAATAGAATTAGAAGAGGTGGAATCGAATAGAATAGAATAGAATAGAATAGAATAGAATAGAATAGAATAGAATAGAATAGAATTAGAAGAGGTGGAATAGAATCGAATCGAATCGAATCGAATCGAATCGAATAGAATAGAATAGAATAGAATAGAATAGAATAGAATAGAATTAGAAGAGGTAGAATAGAATAGAATAGAATAGAATAGAATAGAATAGAATAGAATAGAATAGAATTAGAAGAGGTGGAATCGAATAGAATAGAATAGAATAGAATAGAATAGAATAGAATAGAATAGAATAGAATAGAATTAGAAGAGGTAGAATCGAATAGAATAGAATAGAATAGAATAGAATAGAATAGAATAGAATAGAATTAGAAGAGGTAGAATAGAATAGAATAGAATAGAATAGAATAGAATAGAATAGAATAGAATAGAATTAGAAGAGGTGGAATAGAATAGAATAGAATAGAATAGAATAGAATTAGAAGAGGTAGAATAGAATAGAATAGAATAGAATAGAATAGAATAGAATAGAATAGAATTAGAAGAGGTGGAATCGAATCGAATCGAATAGAATAGAATAGAATAGAATAGAATAGAATAGAATAGAATTAGAAGAGGTGGAATCGAATAGAATAGAATAGAATAGAATAGAATAGAATAGAATAGAATAGAATAGAATTAGAAGAGGTGGAATAGAATCGAATAGAATCGAATAGAATCGAATCGAATCGAATCGAATAGAATCGAATAGAATCGAATAGAATAGAATAGAATAGAATAGAATAGAATAGAATAGAATAGAATTAGAAGAGGTAGAATAGAATAGAATAGAATAGAATAGAATCGAATCGAATCGAATAGAATAGAATAGAATAGAATAGAATAGAATAGAATAGAATTAGAAGAGGTGGAATCGAATAGAATAGAATAGAATAGAATAGAATAGAATAGAATAGAATAGAATAGAATAGAATTAGAAGAGGTGGAATAGAATAGGGTGCCGCCTAGGCCACATGGATGGTGCCACCAATGGAAAGATTTGCAGATAATTACCAGTTTAGGTTGCTGATAAAAATGTACATTTTATGTACTAGGACACAACATTATGTACTAGGACACACAAAAGAGCCTGGTGGCGCAGCAGACTAGGCACTGTTATTAACATCAGCTGCCTGCAATTACTGCAAGTTCAAATCTCACCAGGCTCAAGGTTGACTCAGCCTTCCTTCCTTTCTAAGGTAGGTAAAATGAGGACCCGGATTGTGGGGGCAATAAGCTGACTTTGTATAAATATACAAAAGTATGAAGGTTATTGCTTAACGCATTGTAAGCCGCCCTGAGTCTCCGGAGAAGGGCGGCATATAAATCAAATTTTTAAAAACCGTTGAAAAATTAGCATTTTTTCCCCCTTCTGTTCTTTCTTTTCAAAAGAGGGTTGCAGCTTTAGCACCTGCTAAGCGTTGGCACTTAACTGAATTTTGGTCCTGTAACAGAATCACAGAGTTGGCAGGGACCTTGAGCTCCTGTTCAAGCAGGAAACCCTATACCATTTCCAACAATACCGTTTCTTCTTCTTCCTTTAGGGAAATCAACTTTATATGGAACTCTGACTTGTCACGGTTTGAGCCCAGATGGGATTCCTGAAATTGTAGCCTCCGAAGGATTTGAAGTCAGCGCAGTAACTAAGGTATGGTCGAAAAGCAGAATCTGGCAACATTTCCCCCCCCAAAAAATCATATTATATGGAAAGGCAGAAGCGTTTGGGAATCACATCCAATGCAGAACCCAGAATTTCTCTCAACTGTGGCAGGTTTAAGGTACCTGGACTTGAACTCCCAGAATTCCCCAGCCAGCTGGAGAATTCTGGGAGTTGAAGTCCAGACAGCTTAAAGTTGTCACGGTTGAGAAATAAATACCGGGCTAGATTGATGGAGGATTTAAAGGTGAGGGGAGGGAGGTGGGAGGAAAAAGACAGGTTGGCTATGCAGGCACATGTGACAGATTTTATTTTATTTTTTTGCTTTAATTTATATGCCGCCCTTCTCCGGAGACTCAGGGCGGCTTACAATGCGTTAAGCAATAGCCTTCATACTTTTGTATATTTATACAAAGTCAGCTTATTGCCCCCACAAACTGGGTCCTCAATTTACCTACCTTAGAAAGGATGGAAGGCTGAGTCAACCTTGAGCCTTGGCGAGATTCGAACCTGCAGTAATTGCAGACAGCTGGTGTTAATAACAGTGCTTCAGTCCATTGTACTACAGGCTCAGATTGCAGGTATATCATCAATTTGTTATTATACTATGCTTAAAAATGGAGTGGTGCGGTGGCCTGGAGGTGGTGCTCTCGCCTCACATTCAGGAGGCCGTGAGTTTGATCCTAGGTAGAGGCAGATATTTCTCTCTCTCTGGGCACACTGAGAATATATTTGCTGAACAAAACTCCGCCCTGGCAACAGGAAAGGCATCCGGCCAGTAAACACTCAGCTCCATTCAGATGCCCAGATTCCACCATTCCGCAAGGGATTATGGGGGTCATTAAAAGAGGACGATAACTATGTTAAAAACCCACTGTGTGTTTTGAGAGAACCTGAGATAAAATAATTCAAGAAATGGGAGGAAGTTAAGTTGGATCTAGTTGTTAAAACGCCAGGCTAGAAGCCAGGAGACGGTGAATTCTAGTTCTGCTTTGGACATGAAAGCCGGCTGGGTGACTTTGGGCTAATAACCAGAAGTGATTTCTAGTCCTGCCGTAGGCATGGTGATTTTTGGACCACTCCCTCTCAAGCCAACCTCCCTCACAGGGTTGTTGTTGGGAAAATAAGAGGAGGAAAGAATATTGAGCATGTGAGTTATTCATAAAAATAATACAGGCAGGATACTGTATATATAAATAATCAATAAAATATGACACCATCTTGCCTTTTTGTTTGACCACATACTGCAAAAGCTATTGTGTGTGGCTGTTTAACTTTCTTACTGAAAATCCACATGGACCTCCGAATTGTTAGACTTTGGGATGGATGGAGGGAGAGAGGGAGAGAGGGAGGAAGGAAGGAGGAAGGAAGGAAGGGAAGGAAGGAAGGACAGAAGGAAGGGAGGAAGGAAAGAGAAAGGGAAGGGAAGGAAGGAAAGAAAGAAGAGAGAGAAAAGAAAGAGCGAAAGAAAGAAAGAGAAAGAAAGAAAAAAAGAGGAAGGAAGGAAAGAGAAAGGGAAGGGAAGGAAGGAAAGAAGGAAGAAGAGAGAGAAAAGAAAGAGAGAAAGAAAAGAAAGAAAAAGAAAGAAAGAAAGAAAAAAGAGGAAGGAAGGAAGGAAGGAAAGAGAAAGGGAAGGAAAGGAAGGAAAGAAGGAAGAAGAGAGAAAAGAAAGAGAAAGAAAAGAAAGAAAGAAAGAAAGAAAAAAGAGGAAGGAAAGAGAAAGGGAAGGGAAGGAAGGAAAGAAGGAAGAAGAGAGAAAAGAAAGAGAGAAAGAAGAGAGAAAGAAAAGAAAGAAAAAGAAAGAAAGAAAGAAAGAAAGAAAAAGAAAGAAAGAAAGAAAGAAAGAAAGAAGAAAGAAAGAAAGAAAGAAAAAAAGAAAGGAAGGAAGGAAGAAGGAAAGAGAGTGGGCAGGTACTGTAGACAGGTAGACGGAAGGAAGGTATGGTTGAGATAATCTGCATTTGGTCAATCTTATTTTTATATCAATTCTCCTTTTTTTTATCTCCTTCAGAAAAGTTTGCTTGTCTCCTGCTTGCGGGAAAACACCTCTAGCCAGTTTCTGGCACCCTATACTTCCTTCTGCAGGATCCATCAGAAAAGTGTACGTATTGTTTACCGCTTGGTTTGGAAAGACTATTAAAGGAAATAAAGGCAGGATACATTTTTAAAAATTATTTTTAGCAAAACCATGGTTCACTTGATTATTGCGATTTTCGCTGAATGACCCCTTGCAGTCATATGACTGACCCATTTCACAGCTGTTACGACATAGAACTGTAATGGTAAGGTTCATTACGGTCATATGTCAAGGACTACCTATATTTCCAGCAATAGAGGGTCCATGAACAGAATCTTGAAAGCCTCTCCCAAACCTTCCCTGGCTCAGAAAGGCCCATGAGGTTAAGGTAGGACTGTTCTGAGTCACTTTCTCACACTTCCTACTACTTTCCCAGGAGGGAGTGACACTTTCCTTATCTCCATAAAACCTCTCTCCCCCTTAAGATTAAAATAAATTAACAGAATAACAAATTGGAAGGGACCTTAGAGGTCTTCTGTCCAACCCCCTGCTCGAGCAGAAGACCCTATACCATTCTGGACAAATATCAGTCCAATCTCTTCTCAAAAAGCTCCAGTGATGGAGCACCCACACATTCTAGTGGCAAGCTGTTCCACTGGTTAATTGTCTTCCTTGTCAGGAAGTTTCTCCTTACTTCCAAGTTGCTTCTCTCCTTGGTTAGTTTCCATCCGTTGCTTCTTGTCCTGCCTTCAGGTGCTTTGGAGAATAGGTGGAGCCCCTCTCTCCTTTGGGGCAGCCCCTGAGAGATTGGAAGACTGCTCTCATGTCACCCCTAGTCCTTCTTTTCTTTTTTCTTTTTCTTTTTTATTAAATATATAAACACACAAAATATACATACACATACAAATATACAAATAGGACAAATACAACATAATAACATAAATGACATCTAAACGTAATGTCAAATTTCCTCCGACATCAATAACCTAAATTCCTCGATATATGTTCCTTCCTTTCGCCTTATATAACGATATTATTTTATTAATATTTAATTATGCATTGTTAAATCTTATTTGGTACAGGATTTTGTTTTACTCTTTTAGGATCCTCTTTTGGTTTGGTTTTTTCCCTCTAACCATTGATACCACCTCTGCCAAACCAGATAGTAGTCAGATTCTTCCTTTCCTTGAATTTCCTTGGTGAGTCTGTCCATCTCAGCACGTTCCATGACTTTAGATATTATTCTGTCTTGTGTTGGGACTTCTTCCAGCTTCCAATTCCAACCCTAACCCTAGTCCTTCTTTTCATTAAACAGAATAACAGTTGGAAGGGACCTTGGAGGTCTTCTAGTCCAACCCCCTGCTTAGGCAGGAAACCCTATACCATATTAGACAAATAGTTGTCCAATCTCTTCTTAAAAGCTTCCAGTGTTGGAGCATTCACAACTTCTGGTGGCAAGTTGTTCCACCGATTAATTGTTCTCACCGTCAGGAAATTCCTCCTTAGTTCTAAGTTGCTTCTCTCCTTGCTTAGTTTCCATCTTCTTGTTCTGCCTTCGGAGGCTTTGGAGAATCGATCGACCCGTTTATTTCTCACTGCTCTTGTTCTCTCTTCATTGTAGATCACCTGCCTTGACATTTCGAGCGGAGGAGGGCTTGGCGTCTCCACCAGCGCTGACGGCACTATGAAAATTTGGCAAGCCGCTAACGGGGAAGTTAGAGTAAGTCTCGCCTGCCTAAGCCAGTGTTTCCCAACCTCAGCCCCTTTTAAAGAGGGCTGGGCTTCCAATTCCCAGAATTCCCCAGCCAGCTATGCGGTGTGACTCGTTTAACAACTGCCTTGCTGAGTAGCCCCAGAACTTCCGGTCCCAATTAGCAAGCATGGCATCTGTTGATAATGTGTTCCATCCACAAAAATTCTGGAAGAAAATCAAAACTTGGATAGTAGAAATAATTCAGAACCCAATAGAGGGAAAACTGGAACAATTTCTGTTAGGAATCTCAATAGACAACTATACTAAAGAAATACAGTACCTAATATTGCATATATTGACTGCAGCACGTATTGTATATGCACAATATTGGAAGAAGGAAACACTACCAATGGAAGAGGATTTAATTAAAAAAATTCTAGAATGTGCAGAATTAGATAAATTAACTAAAGAAATTAAGGGGAAAAAAGAATCAAAGTATTATAAGGTTTGGAGTAGATGGTATGAATGGTTGAAACATAAGGAAATAATTTAAATGAATGAAGAAAGGAGGGGGAAAATGTGTATGATCTTTTGTTAGTAAAGAAGAAATGATATAAAGTAGAAAATGAACGTCAAATAAGTAAATACTTAAATATTTGTAAATATTGATGTATAGAAAGAGCAGACCGCTGTGTATAGCTGAAAGAAAAGTGATATTTTTCTTTTTTGTGTTATTTTTTGTTGTATGTATATGTTCGATTTTTAATGTGTTTTTAATGTGTTTAAAATAAAAAAACTTTTTAAAATTAAAAGAAAAGATAACGTGCTCCATCCATGCTCTTTTTCAGAGGAATTTGGAAGGTCACATATACGATGTGAATTGTTGTCGGTTTTTCCCATCGGGCATCGTGGTGCTGAGCGGAGGGATGGACGCCCGGCTAAAGATCTGGTCTGCAGAGGACGGGAGCTGCGTCGCAACTTTTCAAGGACACAAAGCAGGTACCTACCTAGAGAGAAGCGAGCGCTGGAGTTAGCCCAGAGCTGAATTGAATTAAGCCAGCTGCATATATGGCTGAAGTTTGAAGGAGTGTTGTCAGTTCAGTTGTCCTGGGTGGGTCAATCTGTTAGCCTTGCAACAGACAGAACATAGAACTCAACAGAGTTGGGAGGGACCCTGGAGGTCTTCTAGTCCAACCCCCAGCTCAAGCAGGAGACCTAGGCCATTGCAGACAAGTAGCTGTCCAGTCTCTTCTTAAAAACCTCCAGTAATGGAGCATACCCACAACCTCTGCAAGGAAATAATTCCATCGGATGATTGTTCTGTCAGGAAATTCCTCCTTCGTTTTAGGTTGCTTCTTTCCTCCGTTCGTTTCCCTCCATTACTTCGTGCCTTGCCTTCTGGTGCTTTGGAAAAGAAGTTCATGCTCAGGTGAACTAATTCTACAGGCGGTCCTCGACCTTCCAACGGCAGTGAAATAAGTACAGATACAGATTAAGAAAGGGTCCTTGGAGGTCATCTAGCCCAACCCCCCGGCCAAGCAGGAGACCCTACACCATTTCTGACCAATGGCAGTCCACTCTCTTCTTGAAAGCCTCCAGGGATGAAGCTCCCACAACTTCCGAAGGCAACTTCTCTTCCATGGGTTGATTGCTCTCGCTGTCAGAAAATTCCTCCTTATTTCCAGGTTGAATTTCTCCTTGTTCAGTTTCCATCCATTCTTCCTTGTCTGGCCTTCGGATGCCTTGGAGAATAGCTTGACCCCCTTCCTCCTCTCTGGGGCAGCCCCTCAAATATTGGAAGATGCTCTCCTGTCTCCCCTGGTCCTTCTCTTCAGTAGACCAGCCAGGCCCAGTTCCTGCAACCGTTCATCCTATGTTTTAGCCTCCCGTCCCCTAATCATCTTTCTTGCTCTTCTCTGCACTCTTTCTAGAGTCTCCACATCTTTTTATATAGTGTGGTGACCAAAACTGGATGCATTACTCTAGATGTGGTCTTACTCAGGCTTTAGACTGTTTTTCATACCTTAGGACCATTGCAGCACCCCCCCACAGTCACGTGATCAAAATTCTGACACTTGGCAGCTGGCTCACATTTATGACGGTCGCAGTGTCCCGGGGTGTGCGTGTCTGTCCTGTGATCCCCTTTTGCGACTTTCTGACAAGCGAAGTCAATGGAGAAGCCACATTCACTTAGTAAGCGCGTTACTCACTTAACCACCGCAGTGATTCACTTAACGACTCTCTGCAAGGAAGGAGGTCGTAAAACGGGGCAAGACTCACTTAAGAACTGTCTCGCTTGGCAGCGGAAATTTTGAGCCCAATGCTATCTCGTAATCCGAGGACTACACGTAGAATTAGATCCGGCTCCTACTGGCTCCCGAGAGCTGGGATTCTTAAAACTTTGGCAAGCCGTTTTGCAACCAGAGCTGAGCCCTGGCACCAAGCGGGCATTTAGGTGTTCAGCAATCCGGCAGCGGCGCCGCAGCAACAAAGCTGGCAAGAGTCAGTTGCTAAATATTTCTCTTTTGCAGGAATCCTGGACACGGCCATTGTGGAGAGAGGCAGGAACGTGATCTCTAGCTCGCGGGATGGCACGGCGCGCCTTTGGGATTGCGGGCGATCAACTTGCCTGGGCATCGTAGCCGATTGCGGCTCTCCGATCAATGGGATTGCTCTGAATGCCACAGACAACTCTTTAAACTTGGGGTCCCCTGAAGAACTTCCCAGTAAGTGATTACATTGCAACGGGTTGATTTTTCTTCTAAATGCAGGACCAGGCTCTTTGCTTCTCTTTGAATCGTGCTGAAACCCAGACATTTGTTTTCAGACAGGACTGGAACTCCCAGGTGCCTGGCTTCTACCCTCATGCCTTAACCAGTATACCAGGGGTCTCCAAACCTGGCAACTTTTAGACTTGCGGACTTCAACTAGAACTAGAGTTCCCAGGAGTAGATCTTTCAGTTGCCTGGCTTTTAACCTGATGCCTTAACCACTAGACTAGGGGTCTCCAAACCTAGCAATTTTAAGATTTATGGACTTCATCTAGAACTAGAGCTCCCAGGACTAGAATTCCCAGTTGCCTGGCTTTTAACCTTCCAGGGGCCTGGAAATCTGGCAACTTTTCAGGCATGGCGGCTGGCTGGCTGGTGAATTCTGGGAGTTGAAGTCCACAAGTCTTAAAGTTGCCAAGTTCGCCCTTCCCTGCATGAGACCAAACCGTCTCTCTTTCCACTCCAGGTGAGCGCGAAGTTGGCACGGAAGGAAAGCTGTTGCTGTTGGCTCGGGAGGACAAAAAGTTGCAAGGCGTGGGGTTACAAAGCAGGCAGCCGGTAAGATTCCTTCTCCACTTGGGATAACGGGGCCAATTTTTCTTGGTTGTCTTTGATTGGAAATGTATCTCAAACCAGAATAAGGGAAGTTGCGGGAGGGGGGGCAATTTGCTCCTAAGCAACTCAGCTGAGCTTTGCCTCTGATCTGCATCAGCCTGTTCTGTCCCCGTCTCACACACGCACACAAACAGATAGCCAGGGGTTAAATAAAACTGGCAGACAACAAATTCTTTCGATAAGAGGATTGGCAGCAACCCAGTAGCTGCTTGCCAAGAACTTTACTCATAGAGGGAGGGGTTGTTTCTCCGTCAGATAAACCCAAACAAGATACACACAGTTCAAGAATTGTCAAGTCCAGTCCGTATTAAATCCAAGGCAGATAACGTTGTTTCAAAGATACAATGTGACTCGCTAGTAGTTAGTTTTGTCCGTCACAGAGTCTGAATGGCCACCTCACCCCCTTTTATCCCCTGTGGGGTGTGGTCCAGTGACTCAGCCTAATCTTTGGCACGCCTCCTTTTCTGCTGCGTGCGCTTGTCTCTCCGACGCTGGCATGGATCCAGCCAAGACTTATCTCCATCACTGTCCGACTGCGAGGAGATACCTGGTTCCTGGCCAATCTCTTCTCCTTCGGGAGACACCTGAGGCATTGCCAGAGAGGAGGGTCCTGGAGAGGGAGGCCTGGCCAACTCCTCTCCTTCATGTTCGGAGCTTTCTCCCTCCGATAAGTCGGCCTCGGGGGTTGGAGTCACAACACAGCCTTTGTGAGATGAACTGATTTCACTTTTGATTTATCTTCCATGAAAGAATTCTTTCTTTTAATATTTGCACCTCGGGGCTGAAATGAGGGCTCCTTGGTGCTCTTTGAGCTTGGCTGTTTTCTTGCAAACATTTCATGACCGTATTAGGTAACATCATCAGTGCTAGAAGGGAGTGGAGTTTGTGGAGAGAAATAGGAGGAGGAAGAGGAAGAAAAAGACTGGTGGTAGAGAAGGAGAAGGAGGAGAGCTAGGCGGTCCTTGGTGCTCTTTGAGCTTGGCTGTTTTCTTGCAAACGTTTCATGACCGTACTAGGTAACATCATCAGTGCTAGAAGGGAGGTGGGTTTGTGGAGAGGAGGAGGAAGAAGAAGAAGGCGGGTGGTAGAGAAGAAGAAAGAGGAGAACTATGGGTTCCTTGGTGTTCCCTGAGCTTGGCTTTTTTTCTTGCAGACGTTTCGTGACCCAACTAGGTAACATCATCAGTGCTAGAAGAGAGAGGGGTTAGATTGGATTTCAAACCACATTTTTCTCCCATTTCCTCCTCAGGTTTTTCTTTTTATCAGTTCGGCTGCTTTCAACTGTTGCACTTTCCTCTCTAACACGTATCTGCTGGGAGGGACGCAGGATGGGAGCATCTACCAGCTGGATGTCCGAAACACCAAGTGAGTCAGATTCTATTATTATTATTTATTATTTTATTAGTCGTATTTCTATGCTGCCCACTCTCCGAGGACTCTGGGCGGCTTACACCAAAGACAGTATACTAAATAGCAGCTTACTAAGTAGTAAAAGCAGTATACTAAATTCCCTGCTGCTTTGGAAAAATCCAGCGACCGTTTCCTTATTTTCTCCCCCCCCCGCCCATTTTTTTTCATTATTCAAAACATTAAAACATTAACATGAGCCTTGGTGGCGCAGCAGACTAAAGCCCTGTTAAGTAACACCAGCTGCCTGCAATTGCTGCGAGTTCGAATCTCACCAGGCTCAAGGTTAACTCAGCCTTCCATCCTTTCTGAGGTAGGTAAAATGAGGACCCGGATTGTGGGGGCAATAAGCTGACTTTGTATAAAAAAAGAACACCGCTTAGGGGGGGCCGAAAGCCCTACTAAGCAGGTATATACAAAAGTATGAAGGCTATTGCTTAACGCATTGTAAGCCGCCCTGAGTCTCCGGAGAAGGGCGGCATATAAATCGAACCAATAAATAAATAAATACAGACTGCAAAGAAAAAAAAAAAGGAATACAAAAACAAAAGAAAATTGTGCATAAACCCCCCAACAAACATATAGATAAATTATACTCCCCCTCAGCTGAATACTGATAAATATATTTCAAAGATAATCGTAATGGCCTCTCTTCGAAGCTTAATTTGGCTGTTGGCCTTGTCCGTTTAACTATGTTTTCATATACTGGTAGTCCTTGACTTATGACCACAATGGAGCCCAAAATTTCTGTGGCTAAGCAAGACATTTGTTCAGAGAGTTTTGCCCCATTTTTTAACCTTTCTTGCCAGAGCTGTTAAGTGAAACACTGCAGTTGTTCATTTAGTCACACGATGGTTAAGCGAACTTGGCTTTCCCCCATTGACTCTGCTCGTCAGAAGGGTCGCAAAAGAGGATCACGTGACTCTCCGGGACACTGCGACCGTCATAAATATGAGTCAGTTGCCAAGGGTCTGAATTTTGATCATGTGACACCCCCCCCGGGGATTCTGCAACGGTCGTAAGTGTGAAAAACGGTCATATTCGGTGTCGTTGTAAGTTCGAACGGTTGTAAGTCAAGGACTACCTGTAGTAGATCGGTGTCAGGCTTAGAGGGTTGTAGAAACGGATAAATTTGCTCCGGCCTTGTGCGCAAAGAAACCGAGGCGATGCTCGTGAAAGCAGCCCGTTCAAAAAACAGATTTTTTTTTCCCTTCGAAAACGTTTTGCTTTCTCATCCAAGAAGCTTCTTCGGTTCATCCAAGCTTCATGGATGAGAAGCGAAACGTTTTCGAAGGGGAAAAAAAAATCAAGAGAGTCCAGCTGCCTTTTGGAAAAAGAAATCACCTTTGGGACAATCATGGCCTGGATGGTGGAGCATCTCTATATAGACCTTTAAATATTGAATTCTTTCTCCATTTTCCAGAGCTCCCATTCGAGTGATCCAGAGATCAGGCGCCCCGGTCCTTTCTCTGATGCCTTACAAAGATGGATTTATTGCCAGCCAAGGTAACTGATTTCTTATTTCTGTGGTAAGGAAATCTATATGGATGCCTGCTCTCTCACGGTAACCTCCAATACAGGGGTGGGCATGGCGTGGCCATGGGGGCGTGGCCTAGTCCGCTTCCTGTACCATGGAGCGGGTGTTTTCGCCCTCCCCAGGCTCTGGAGGCTTTTCTGGCACCTCCAGGAGGGTAAAAACAGCCTCCCTGGGCTCCGGAGGCCCTCCGGAGGCTGGAAATGGGCCCGTTTCCAGATTTCCGATACTTCCAGTAGGCCCGTTTTTCGCCCTCCCAGATCCTCCATGTGGGCCCTGCACTTACCTGGCATCCAAATCGGGCCGTGTGGAGACTCCTGGGAGGGGCAGGGTGAGATGAGTGGGGTCCCCCACCCTACCTGGTGTTCTATCCCCGTCTCACACACGCACACAAACAGACAGCCGGGGGTTAAATAAACTGGCAGACAACCAATTCTTCCGATAAGATGCTTGGCAGCAACCCAGTAGCTGCTTGCCAAGAACTTTTACTCAATAAACAAAATACACACAGTTCAATAATTGTCCAGTTCGTAAAATAAATCCAAGGCCGATAATGCGTGCCGGCCAGCTAGTCTTCCGGGTTTCTGGCCGGCGCGCATGATCATGCAGGAAAACGGAATACCAGCTCTTCCAGTTTCCCGCACTGCCGCATGCACGAAGGCAAGCTGATCGTTGTGCCAGAAACCCGGAAGAGGAATGGGTGATGTCATGCATGTCCCTGTCTCACACACGCACACAAACAGACAGCCGGGGGTTAAATAAACTGGCAGACAACCAATTCTTTCGATAAGATGCTTGGCAGCAACCCAGTAGCTGCTTGCCAATAACTTTTACTCAATAAACAAAATACCCACAGTCAAGAATTGTCCAGTTCGTAAAATAAATCCAAGGCCGATAATGTTGTTTCCAAAGATACAATGTGACTCGATAGTAGTTAGTTTTGTCCGTCACAGAGTCTCAATGGCCACCATGCTCCCTTTTATACCCTGTGGGGTGTGGTCCAGTGACTCAGCTTAATCTCTGGCACGCCTTTTCTTCGGTTGCGCACGCTTATCTCTGCGACGCTGCCGAGGATCCAGCCAAGAATCATTACCCTCATCACTGTCCACCTGTGGCTGCGTGGACGTGCTTGGCCCCGGCCCTATCTCTTGCCCTTCGGTGGACACCGAAGGCATTGCCAGAGAGGAGGGTGCTGGAGAGGGAGGCCTTGCCAACTCCTCCCCTTCACTCTTGGACTCCTCTCCTGCCGATGACACAGGCTCAGGTAACGGAGCCACAACACCTGGTAACCACAATCTAACCAACCTCTTGATGGGTTCCGTATCCCTCTGGGGTCGCCAGGCTTTATGGCAAAATCATATCTTCAGGGCGTTTTGGAAAGAATGTTAAGGTGGGACCGGTCTTGTCTCTGCACGGTTGATGTTCCACAGGGAGGGAGCCACCCCACGGAAAGCCCTCCTTCTTGGTCTTTAAGGAGATGGACCTCCTTAAAAGGGGGGACTCCTAACATCCACCTGCCTCCCTGCTCTTGTTGGTCAAGTGGATAGAACTACAGTAGTGGCCAAAATTGTGGAAACCTTTTGGGAAAAGTGTATTTTTTGAGGTTTGGTGGCTAATAATAACACCACTTTTTTTGGAGGACCCCGTTTCTCCGAAAATAAGACCCAACCGTAAAATAAGCCCTAGCATGATTTTTCAGGATGCTCGTAATATAAACCCTACCCCCAAAAATAAGCCCCGGTTAAGATTGTCAGCCAGATGGATGCATTTAGTACCGTATTTTCCCCAAAATAAGACCTAACCAGAAAATAAGCCCTATTGCGTCTTTTGGAGCAAAAAGTTTTCTTATTTTGGGGGGAAACGTGGTAGTACCATAAAATTATATATCAATGGAAAGATAATTTAATCAAGAATGTAATGCCACAAAGTTTGTTTAATTATCTGTATTGTATGAAAAGTTATAGCCAAATAACCAGAAAAAAAGGAAGCACACCTTGCTTAGGTTGCTATCAGGTAGCTTTCCTTCATCTGGTTGTAGCCAATGAGCATGAGTGTTTAGAGAGCCAATCAGGTGTCATCTTGTTTTGGCAATGAGCCAACCAGAACATGGTAGGATTCAGTTATTATTGTTTTTTTAAAATAATCTTTATTTACATTTTTCATTAAAAAACAGAAAACGACAACACACCATAAAAATAACATACAAGACAACATAACGAATAACAAACATATCTGCAAGTAGGATTCAGTTATTGATATGTATTGAAGCTAAGAGGAGGGCATTTGTCAGTGTGTCATGTGATCGCTATCAAGTTGGTTGGGGTTCTTTTGTGTTCTTTCGTTTAGTAAGCTTGTAAAACGTAATAAAATTAAAGTAATGGTGCAAAGAGTTGACTGGTCGCCCAGAAAGCGATGTAAAATAGTATTATTAAGTGAACAAGGCTACAGTTATAAAGAAATGCTTTGCTCTCTACATGGGGCTCCCCTTGAGGAGCACCCGGAGGCTCCAACTGGTGCAGAATGCGGCCGCGCGGGGGATTATGGGAGCAAGGGGGCGCTCCCATGTGACACCTCTCCTGCGTGAGCTGCATTGGCTTCCAGTTGTCTTCCGGGTGTGCTTCAAGGTGTTGGTTACCACCTTTAAAGCGCTCCATGGCATCGGACCTGGGTATTTGCAGGACCGCCTTCCGCCGCCAATAGCCTCCCACCGACCAGTACGGGCCCACAGAGAGGGACTCCTCAGGGTGCTGTCAGCCAGGCAATGTCGGTTTGCGATCCCCAGGGGGAGGGCCTTCTCTGTGGCAGCCCCCGCCCTCTGGAACGATTTGCCCCCGGAGATACGAAGGATATCGGATCTCCCGGTCTTTCGCCGTGCCCTGAAAACTTTTCTTTTCCATCAAGCAGGGCTGGCGTGAAACCCCCCCCCCCCTTTTTTTTTTAGTTTTTAAATTGTCAATGGGTTTTAGTTTGAATGTTTTAAATTTTGGGGCCAAAGTCATGTAATTCTTTTAAAAAATTTAAATTTTGTATCGGTATGTCTTTTAGTTCTGGCTGTGCACGGCCCTGAGTCCACTAGGAGAAGGGCAGTATACAAATTGAATAAAATAAATAAATAAATAAATAAATAAATTAAACCAAAGGTGGCATTTCTAAGTTTTTTTTTTTATTGAAAAAGTTTTACAAATACAAATTTTCCCCATTTCCCCCCAGTTTCCCTCCCTAACCCTCCCTAACCCTCCCCTCCTCCCATGACTTCCCCAAGGTAAAATCCACCCACATTATATTGTATCATTACTTTACCACCCTTCTTTTCTCCCCCCTGTGTACTATACATCTCTACCTGACATTAAGCTATTTTGCATTTCTAAGTTTTTGAAGAGGTATAAGGAGACTCAGTCACTACAAAACCACACTGGTAAAAGGCAGGAAAAGGTGCACAACAGCAAGTGGTGATAGAAGAATTAAGAGACTGTGCCTATGTGACAGAAGAAAATCCTCTGGGTCAGAGGTGGTTCTGACCAGTTCTGGAGAACCGGTAGAGGAAATTTTGAGTAGTTCGGAGAACCGGTAGTAAAAATTCTGACTGGCCCTGCCTCCATCTATTCTCTGCTTCCCGAGTCCCAGCTGATCGGGAGGAAATGGGGATTTTGCAGTATCCTTCTCCTGGAGTGGGGAGGGAATGGGGATTTTACAGTATCCTTCCCCTGGAGTGGGGAGGGAATGGGGATTTTACAGTATCCTTCCCCTGGAGTGGGGAGGGAATGGAGATTTTACAGTATCCTTCCCCTGCCACACCCACCAAGCCACGCCCGCCATGCCATGCCATGCCCACCAAGCCCACCAAGCCATGCCATGCCCACCAAGCCACACCCACAGAAGCGGTAGTAAAAAAAATTTAAAGCCACCACTCATCTGGGTGTATACAAGATGAAATGGCACAATGCAATGTGAAGTCGAGTGCAAGGATTGTTCAGCGCAGACCGATTGGGCCTAAAATCTAGAATTCCACGACAAAAGCCACTTTTATCTCTCAAACAAAAGTTGAAAAGCATTACATTCTTGATTAAATTATCTTTCCATTGATCATATAATTTTATGGTACTACTCCCCCCCCCCAAAAAAGTGGTGTTATTAGCCATCAAACCTCAAAAATACACTTTTCCCAAAAGGTTTCCACAATTTTGGGCCACTAGTGTAGGAAAAGATGCTCCTTAATTAAATGTATATGCCGCCAATCTCACTATCCCGAGAGACTTAACAAAAATAGAAATGTAAGTATTAAAAAAAAAATTAGCATTTGCAAAAACCAAATGCAGAATTTGATTGCTTACCTGTTTGCAGGTGATGGGACTTGTTTTATTATGCAGCAGGATCTCGACCACGTGCTTGAGCTGACCGGACCTGACTGTGATCCTGTGTACAAAGTAGGTTTAAAACACAACATTCAGCATGATTTACTTCAAGCAAAGAAGGGACGTGTGGCAGGAATAAAAAAGGAATTGGGGTCCTACCCCAAAAACGGAAAGAGGGAGGGAAGTATTTGGGTATAAAATCAAGAACCATATGATTTGCAATGGTATAGAGCCGTGATGGCGAACCTATGGCACGGGTGCCACAGGTGGCACGCGGAGCTATGTTGCCTGGCACGCCAGCTCAGCTCCGGTACGCATGTGCGCCCCGGCCAACTGATTTTCGGGCCTTCTGGGTCCACCAGAAGTAGAGAAACAGGCTGTTTCCTGCGTCCGGAGGACCTGGGGGAGAGTGTGGAAGGCCCATTTTTCTTTCTCATTCCAGATCCTCCAGATCCTCTCTATGCATCTGGGGAGGGCGAAAACAGCCTTCCCCACCGCCTCGGAGGCCCGAAACAGCCCGTTTTCGAACTCCCCAGATGCATAGAGAGGATCTGGAGCCAGGTGAGAAAGAAAAACAGGCCCACTGGGCTATCGCATGCCAGGAGCCGGGGGGAGGGGGGGTCGCGTGCGCATGCGCGGGACACGTAGAATTATGGGTGTGGGCACGCGCATGCACGAACCTTCTCCGCCCCTTCCTGGCACATGATGGCAAAAAGGTTAGCCATCACTGGTATAGGGTCTCCTGCTTGGTTGCAGGGTTGGACTAGATGACCTACAAGGTCCCTTCCAACTCTGTTAATCTGTTTATAAAGATATACTTCTTATTCGTTTTTGTATACTTCTTATCCGCCACTATGGCACGCTTCTTATGTTTTCTCTGCGTGGCAAGATGGGGAAAATAAAGTTATTTATTTATTAAATTTAGAAACCGCCCTTTCCTTCCTAGGATGTACAAATGAAATATTATAACATTAAAAATAACCACACAGCTGGTCCTCGATTTACAGCCATTCGTTTAGGGACCGTTTGAAGTTACAACGGCACTGAAAAAGAATTTATAATTTTTTTTTTCACGCTTAACGACTGTCTCAGCATCCCCATGGTCCCCTGATCAAAGTTTGAATGCTTGGCAACTCACATTTATGACAGTCTACGTGTCCCGGGATCACCTGATCCTCTCTTGTGACTGTCCGACCAGCAAAGTCCAGGGGGAAAGCCAGATTCGCTTAACAACCGTGTTACTAATTTAACAACTGCAGTGATTCACTCAGCAGCGGTGGCAAGACAAGTCATAACATGGGGGCGAAACTCAAATTTTCTCCCCTTTCTTTTAAATTTTTAAATTGAAATTTTAATTTGTTTTAAATTATTGGGATTTTTAATTGTCTTGGGCTAAATTATTTAATTTGGTTTTAATTATGTTTCTAACTTTTGTATTTATGTATTTTATTTTGTGCCTGTTCACCGCCCTGAGTCCTTCGGGAGTAGGGCGCTATATAAATTTAATAAAACAAACAAAACATAAAACAAACCACTTTCTCACTTAAGCAACATAAATTTTGGCCTCAATTGTAGACCGTGTGACTCACTTAGCAGCTGCAGTGATTTGCTTAACAACGGTGGCCAGAAAGGTTTGAGAAATGGGGCGAAACTCACTTAACAACTGTCTCGCTTTGTCGTGGAAATTGTGGGCTCCATTGTGGTCATAAGCCGAGGACTACCTGTACATCAAACGGGAGACAACCCGGGTGTCGTCAGGAACCATTTGAGCTGAGATATATTTTTTTTTCTGATTTTTCCAGGTAGCTCCCTGGGGGAAAGAAATCTACACCTGCTGCCGAGATGGGATCCTTCGGAGATACCAGCTTTCCGATCTCTGATCCGCCTGGAAAGTTCAACAGCGGATTTGCAAATGCTGGATTTAGTTCAGGGATTTCTCCCAATGACTGTTTGGAAAAGGGCCAACAGGGCACCTGTTTGTAGTCCTCTATAGCACGGCTCTATCTATACAGTCGCTTGAACAGAGCTGATGACAGGTATGACTTTAAGAAAACCTCACCTGAACTCGGGGCTGAACCGGGTATTCCTGCAAAAACAAGACACAGGATGCCTGAAAATTTTTTGCTCCGAAGGTTTCTTGTTATTAAAGGCCACCTTGCATTTGGAAAAGCACAAGGGGGTTTCAGCCGTCTTTTGATGATTCTTAAGCCAGGGCGAAGGAACTGACCCGAGGGAGGAGAGGCCAGGATAAATGACCTCCTGGGAGGAATTCCCATAAGCCCCTCTTGACAGTATCTCAACTGGGATCTGAAAAGGCAGACACAGTGGGGTTTACTGGATGTGGTTTTAAAAAAAGTCAAGATTGTGTGCATGTGTATTGCTATATGATAGATAGATAGATACCATAGATAGATAGATACCATAGATAAATGATAGATGATAGATAGATGATAGACAAAAGAGATGAGAGAGATGATTGATTGATAGAGAGAGAGAGAGAGATTGCATATATAGTATTGCATAGATGATAGATCGATGATAGATAGATAGATACCATAGATAAATGATAGATGATAGATAGATACTAGATAAAAGAGATGAGAGATGATTGAGAGAGAGAGAGAGAGATTGCATATATAGTATTGCATAGATAGATAGATGATAGATAGATAGATAGATAGATGATAGATAGATAGATAGATAGATAGATAGATAGATAGATAGATAGATACCATAGATAGATGATAGATGATAGATAAAAGAGATGAGAGAGATGATTGATTGATAGATAGATAGATAGATAGATAGATAGATAGATAATAGATACCATAGATAAATGATAGATGATAGATGATAGATAAAAGAGATGAGAGAGATGATTGATTGAGAGAGAGAGAGAGAGATTGCATACATAGTATTGCATAGATGATAGATCGATGATAGATAGATACCATAGATAAATGATAGATGATAGATAAAAGAGATGAGAGAGATGATTGATTGAGAGAGAGAGAGAGAGATTGCATACATAGTATTGCATAGATGATAGATCGATGATAGATAGATACCATAGATAAATGATAGATGATAGATAAAAGAGATGAGAGAGATGATTGATTGATTGATTGATTGATAGATAGATACCATAGATAAATGATAGATGATAGATGATAGACAAAAGAGATGAGAGAGATGATTGATTGATAGAGAGAGATTGCATATATAGTATTGCATAGATGATAGATCGATGATAGATAGAGACCATAGATAAATGATAGATGATAGATAGATGATAGATAAGAGATGATAGATAGATAGATAGATAGATAGATAGATAGATAGATAGATATAGAGAGATAGATAGATATTGCATATATAGTATTGCATAGATGATAGATCGATGATAGATAGATAGATACCATAGATAAATGATAGATGATAGATAGATACTAGATAAAAGAGATGAGAGATGATTGAGAGAGAGAGAGAGAGATTGCATATATAGTATTGCATAGATAGATAGATGATAGATAGATAGATAGATAGATGATAGATAGATAGATAGATAGATAGATAGATAGATAGATAGATAGATACTGTGTTTCCCTGAAAATAAGACCCTGTCTTATATTTTTTTGAAGCCCAAAATAAGTGGTTAGCCTTATTTTGGGGGGGGGGGTGTCTTATTATTTTGGGGCGCGTGGAGCAAGATGCGGCTCCTCTTGCCGTCTTACCTGATTTCCGGCTCTGTCTCCCTAACCCTAACCAGAGGAAATGGCGGGGACCAGCTGCGCATGTGGTTAAATATTTTTGGGGAGGAGGTGTTATTTTAGCACATGCGCTCAAAAGCCCAATAGGGCTTATTATCAGGGGATGTCTTATTTTAGGGGATAGATAGATAGATAGATAGATAGATAGATAGATAGATAGATAGATTAGATAGATAGATAGATAGATAGAGATAGAGATAGAGATAGAGATAGAGATAGAGATAGAGATAGAGATAGAGATAGAGATATATAGATATACATATAGCATATATATATATATGCTTTCTTCTCTTATCGTAGGTTTTTGTATGTATTTTTCTTCAGGTATTTTCCTACGTAAACCAAGTTTCTCAAATTGCAGCCATAGCTCAGCGAAATCACATCCACTATCCTAGGCTTCTTCAGACAGCAAGCAAGCATTTTGCTGCCTATTGGGAGACTAATATAGATTAAGAAAAATACATACAAAAACCTACGATAAGAGAAGAAAGCAAATACTTATCCTCTACGGGAAGGGGACGTATGGTAAGGGTGTGGCTAACTGATGAGGACCGATCAGTCCGAAATAGATCTGTATTAGTCTCCCAATAGGCAGCAAAATGCTTGCTTGCTGTCTGAAGAAGCCTAGGATAGTGGATGTGATTTCCTGAGCTATGGCTGCAATTTGAGAAACTTGGTTTACGTAGGAAAATACCCAGTTGAAGAAAAATACATATATATAAATATACACACATTCACATGCATGCATAAGGTTTTTAAGCAGAGACTGGACAGTCACTTGTCTGAAATGGTATAAGGTCTCCTGCCTGAGCAGCGGGCTGGACTAGAAGACCTCCGAGGTCCCTTCCGGCTCCATTCTGATTGATGGATGTTGTTGAGGACTACCTGTGGAGCTAAATGCACGGAAAGCTTTTCGGGAAAACATTTCCCGGACTGCAGCAGCCGCTGTTCTGTTTGAACTGTGGATAAAGTACCCTCCTATAATTATGTTTTCCTAGTCTTATCTTTAGCCCCCAAAGCAAGATCAGCCACTTTGGAGTCTGTGCAGGAAGCAAACGGGTGAAAGGTAAACAAAGAGAGCGGCTGCCGAAGAGCCTTTTGCAGCCACGCGTCGTCGTCTAAAGAGGTCATAAAAAGAGGTTTTTTTTTTTTTTTTTTTTGCAAAGAGCCAGTCATGTCTCGGCTTAAAAGTCAACATTAAAAACCATAAAAGCTGCAATTACACCAGTACGAAGCTGCATCGGCCTCCCTAACCTCCGAAACACGCCTGCAAACGCTCTTATTTAACTTTGAGGGGGTTGTTTTCAGCACTGAGCACCCCCAACCCTGAAAAATAGATGGAAAAATATGGGCATTAGCCATGCCTCCCCCACTTCCCAGATCTGCAAGAGGCCGCACATATTGTGTGCAAAAGTCACAGGAGGTGGGTTTTTTTTTTTTTTTTTTACGGGCTTGTGAACTAATCCACACCTTGTTAAAGAGTTTAGCACACTGTGCAAATCAGGAGATGCTCAAGATTAGGGATCTTGAGCTTAATATGCTATTCCTGGTATGTGATGTTTTGTATACCTACAGAGAAAGGAGCATCTCTTGCGATCTCGGACTTTTTTATTATTATTATTATTTGATTTATATGCCGCCCTTCTCCGGAGACTCAGGGGGGCTTACAATGCGTTAAGCAATAGCCTTCATACTTTTGTATATTTATACAAAGTCAGCTTATTGCCCCCACAAACTGGGTCCTCAATTTACCTACCTTAGAAAGGATGGAAGGCTGAGTCAACCTTGAGCCTGGCGAGATTCGAACTTGCAGTAATTGCAGGCAGCTGAATGTTAATAACAGGCTATTAGTCTGCTGCGCCACCAGGCTCCTTTTAGGCTTGCTGTCAAACATCAGCCATCATACTAATGACTATTTATTTATTTATTTATTATTCGTATTTCTATGCCGCCCACTCTCCGAGGACTCTGGGCAGGCTTACACCAAAGACAGTATATACTAAATAGCATATTGCCCCCCAACAATCTGGGTCCTCATTTTACCCACCTCGGAAGGATGGAAGGCTGAGTCAACCTTGAGCCCTTGGTGAGATTTGATCCGCTGATCGGCTGAACCAGCAGTCAGCTGAAGTAGCTGCACTACTGCACTCTTAACCACTGCGCCACCTCGGCTCTTTTTTTTTTTTTTTTTTTGAACAATAGGCAGGTTGTATTTCACGAATTTTATATGTGAAAATTATTACGACCGAAATATTTCTGCACCTCTATTGGTTCACCCTGTCAGGAAGTTTCTCTTTAGTTTTAGGTTGCTTCTCTCTTCGTTCTGTTTCCATCCATTGCTTCTTCTTTTGTTTTGCCTTCTGGCGCTTTGGAAAATACATTGCCTATACCAGTGATGGCTAACCTTTTTGCCGTCGCGTGCCAAAAGCAGGGGGAGTGCGGGGGGGGTCTCTCTCTCGCGTGCCCACACCCATAATTCAATGCCCCCCCCATGAATGCATGTGCGACCCCCCCCCCGCGTTCTCCTCACTTTTGCCACGTGATGGCACAGTGGGCCAGGAAGGCCCATTTTTTGCCCTCCCCAAGCTCCAGAGCTTTCTTGCAAAAGATGATCCCCGGGAGACTGCGACGGTCATAAATATGAGTCAGTTGCCAAGCATCTCAGTTTTGATCCCGTGACCAGGAAGATGTTGCAGCGGTCGCAAGTGTGAAAAAAAAGGTCAAAAGTCACTTTGTTCAGTGCCTTTGTGTCTTAGGACTAAAAGAACTGTTGGATGCCAAAGACTCCCTGTATGTTATTATAATCAAGGACAGAACCTACCTAGAAATAAAAGAGAAATTTCCTGGCAATGAGAACAATTAACCCATGGAACAGCTTGCCCCCAGAAGTCGTGGGTGCTCCATCACAGGCGGCTTTTAAAAAAAGATTGCACAACCGTATGAAACGGTATATATATATATGGGGTTTCCTGCTTGAGCAGGAGGTTGGGCTAGAAGACCTCTTAAGGTCCCGTCTGTTGGAAATTGTTCTGTCCCCAATCACACGCACACACACCAACAGACGTTCAAGAGTTAAAGACCAAACCAGCCGGCAAAATCCTTTTTCTTATGATAACGGAACTTGGCAACAACCTAGTGGCTGCCTGCCAAGAGTTTATTATTTACGAAGAGGAGAGATAACTTCTCCCCACTTCTGATACATCAAAAGAAACAGCTCAATAATTACGGAGTCAATCAAGTCCAGAGATAATCCAGCAAAGTCTATAGCAAAAGTCCGGCAATGCAGAATGGCGTGGAAGCTTTCAGCTTTGTTCGTCACAAGGTTTGACTGGCCACCACGCTCCCTTTTATATCCTGTGGGGTGTGGTCCAGTGACTCAGCCTAATCTCGGGCACGCCTTCTGTT